AACAAAAATATACTTTTAAAATAATGAACATTGAAAGGTTGAATTAAAAACAATATATCTTAGACTTCTTCCTAGAAAGAAACATGTATATTTATGAGGAGTACTTTGAGATAAAACTAGTTTTATCTGGAGTTCTGTGTTTCAGCTTCCTCATATGTTCAATAGGGATAATATCTCTGTCTCAGGGGTGTTGCAGATTAAATGATTTTTATAAGCCCTTAGTAATAATGCATGGCACACAGTAAGCCAAAGGAAGTGGCCACTGTTATATTTTAAGTGGAATTTTTGAAATTACCAGACAATGGGCAAGAGGTAGACAGACCAAACAGGCATAGGAGAAATGTCTGTTTTAGTTTTAACTGTGCTAAAAACTAAGTCATAGGACCATGAGTAAGTCATTTAATCTTTTGCAGTTTGCCTTCTCTTACTCTAGGTCCAAGTTTCTCAACAGTGGGTATTATGGGCATTTTGGACCAGATAATTCTAGTCAGAGGCTGTCTTGTGCATCGTGGGTATTTAAGAGCATCCTCAGCCTCTATACACTAGGTACTGGTAGTGCCACCTTCCAAGTTCTGACACTCAAGAACATCTTCAGACATGGCTCACTCTAGGTACCCCTAGCTGATAAAATCCTCACTTTGAGACCACTGCTCTGGATCTAAGTAAAGCTTGTAATTTATCTTTTGCTCTAAAATGTTACATAACCTTTGCACAGTAGTTTTTAACTCTTGTGGGTCATATCCCTTTTTAAGAATCTGACTAAAGAATATATTCTCATCTCCCCCCAAAAAATGCACTCATGAAAATATCTCCTAAAGATGCTTAAAATCCCTAAAGCCCAGATCCCCAAGCCCCATGGATTCTGGGTTGCAAAGTGCCTGCTTTAGATAGTAAAGTTCTGACTTCATACACTGATTTTATATTTGAATTCTGTTTACACCAGATTTTGCCGTTAACATATTAAGTGGAATATATTTATTTTAGAAAGAAAAAGAAACACAAATAGAATAGATTTGAAGAAATGTTTATCAGATGAAGAAAGTCTTGTTTGGGGATAAAAATTCAATATTCAGGAAAAAAATAACATTGGTAACTAATAACTTCTTACTGTAGTCTAATATTTAAATCAAGTTCTCTCAAAGTAGCATGTTTAATAAAAGGGTTTCAATGAAATGACGCCATATAAATTAATACCAAGAGCACACCTTTGTAACCAAAGGCAGCATTGTAGTTAATTACAAATGGTGAAATAAATCAAGGAAGATAAATTGTGAAAACCTCTAGATAAATTATTGTGAGAAATTATTTCCATTTATGTCTTTATGAAATAAATCAGGCTACACTGATCTTTCTTTTATTAAACAGGATGAGACTTCAGCACTCAAATTTGAAATAAGAGCAACAGCTTTTCCAGAGCCAAATTCAAAAGTTATTGAACTAAACCAGGATGAGAATATTGCACATGTAAGATTACCCTTTTAACTGGTACAGTAAAATTGCAGGGAAAAATATTGCAAGGATGTTTATAATTATCTCCTTTTGAAGACCTGAGTCAGGAAAGTAGAGTGTGACCATATCATGGAGGGCCTTGAATACTTCACTGAGAGTTGGCATTTTCCATAGCTGGCAAGAGGGAACAGCTCTTTAGTGGGGTGAATTTGGCAGCAGTGAGAACAGAATGGATTGGAGGAATACCATTCCACTCAGTTTTTGCTGAACACTTACCAATGTTTCCTATGGTTATGTTAGAACCAGAAAGAGGATGGGGTGGGTAGTTATTATGGAGGGCCTCAAAGGAAATGTAAAAAAGTTTCTCACCTGGTGAGTTTTTCTTTAAATTTTTGCTTAATTCATGTAGGTTCTGCTGGAAGGATTACATCATCAAAGACCCAAACGTCATTTCACCATAGTGATTATTTCAATTAGCTTGCTACTTGGACTTATTGTACTTTTATTGATTTCGTATGTTATGTGGAAGGTAAGCCTTTAATAGTTATCAACACTAAACCACTCAAAATGCCATTCTTTGTTTTCTGAAAGCTAATTTGTGGCTCCCAAGTTACTAGATTTAAATATTTTAGTATTTTGATGTTAAGTTTTTAAAAACTTTTTAGATTGTTAGGTGAATATATAATACTGATCTCTTCTAATTTCAATACCAAAGTCTTTCTAGAAAAATATGCCTTCTTAAAGATAACTTGCTTTGAAAGATGTTTTTTTAAAAAAGTATTTGGAAAATATTGCAAATGATATTCAATGTCAATTTTGGAGAGAGTTTGGTATTACAGAGAAGTCCTGCATTAACAACCACAAAAATGTTTCTTTAACTTAATATGTCCCAAACTAATTTTTACTAATTGCATCTGTTAAAAGCCTTCATGATTAGTGTAACATGGGACAGAGTGTAAGAAATATTGATTAGATTTGAGTAAACAGATATCAATGTTCATAACTATACAACTGGTGATTATTCAATGCTATTTTCAGGCTGGCTTCTTTAAAAGACAATACAAATCTATCCTACAAGAAAACAGAAGAGACAGTTGGAGTTATATCAACAGTAAAAGTGATAACGATGATTAAAGATGTCTTTCAAATTGAGAGAATGGAAAACAGACTGCAGTCATAACAAAGATAAGACACTGTTTGTAAGAAAACATCAATTTTGCTCAGACTTCTTCCATGTACAACTTTTACTCACAATATCGTGACATATTATGTTTTAATACAAGGGGGAAACCTGGCAATGATTACCCTTTGAGAAAGAAGATCTGCAAAGGTAATACTTAATCTTTCAGTGTTTAAATGGGTAGAAAAACACTAAAGCATTCAATTTATTCAAGAAAAGTAAACCCTTGAAGATATCTTGAAATGAAAGTATATCTGAATTAAATCATATTGATGAATTTAACAACATGATTGGAGAAGTCTTGGACTTAAAATATCTTTCAAGGAAATATTATTTACCATATGTACTCACCTTC